CCATACCCTTGCTTGAATAGCTTCGTGGTTAGCAGATGACTGCTCTAACTCTTCAAGAGTCTCAGTAGCTTCCTGGCTGTATATCAAATCGTGGTCAGAGATACCAAATATACCTGGAAAACATTTATCTTACTGATTAATACTTATTTGTTCAATGACAATCACAATGACAATTTAAAATGCATGTGTTACTACATTATTCCAATGARCTATAACTTCATGTCATTAGCCACACAGTGCACCAATCTARCAAATGCTTCTKAAAAACAAATCAAACTCATGTTCTATACTCACCAAGTTTGTGTAAGAATGAGATGTGCTTGTCTAATAGWTCATCAGATTTACGATGTTTTGCRTGCATCTTGTTCAGCTGTAGTTGTGTCTTTGATTTTGCTGGATCATCAAGAGTAAATAACTCTCTCAAGTCCTGACTTGTAAAATACCTGGTGGAAATAAAAGATTCCTTCACTGAATAATGCTGAAAAATCATAGGTAAATCAGGTTCATTTTTGTGGCGGTTTGTAGATGTCAAAGTTAGCACAAAATCAACATATTTTATTGTAATATTTACTGTTTGTAAACATGCAGACAATGTTTTCTGAAAACCATTATCAACTGTCAACTCACCTAAATGGATTCTTCGATGACCCTGTAGTCTGTTGACTCAAGGCACATTTAAAGACTTGTTTTCTGTATATTTTTTCTTCAATAGATCCACATGTGATCAATCGATATATGACTACACTTCTTGTTTGTCCAATACGATATGCTCTAGGACATAAAGAAACAACAGGTTAATCCAAAGTATCAATAGTGATGCAATAATGTTTTTTTGAGAACAGAACAGATTTTGCTTACCGATCCACAGCTTGAGCATCAGTCGCAGGATTCCAGCTGGGATCAACTGTTAGTAATTGAGAAAACAGTTCATTACAACAACAACAACAAAATACTGCTGTTCCATTAAACAAAACTAATAATAAGATTAATAGCTTCATGATACATCAATCATGTTGCAGAATAACATTGTCATCACTAGCCAATCACATTTGCAGATTGATATATCACAAACCAATCAGATGACAGATTGATATTATTCTAACAACAGCATCTGATTTGACTCCTGAATCGTATTACTGCAGTGTAATTGATCAGCCATGATATCACTCTAAACAAGACAAAATAAGAGGTTATCCATAAACTTACATATTACGACACGATCGGCCCCCGTTAGAGTTAGCCCCACTCCACCAACCTAGGAAATAAGAGTTGATCTTAGGAGACAACCAGACATTTGCAAACCTACAGTTATTGCCAACTTTGACCTACAACTGTTATATTATACAATTTGCCTACAAAATACTATAGGTGCCATGCACGACTGTCATATATGATTTGCACATGCCATTGCTAAATTTGCAAATTGATTAGACAAATACGTTATAGGTCCAGTGATGCCGGTGCAGTCCTAATCCGAAAAAAGTCACGTCATTTTGAACCTTGGCTTAAAACCGTACTACAAGTCTTGAGTCATGTGCATCAGTTGTTACAATGCAAGTTGTAGGGGCATTTAGGGTGCTTTCCATTTAGGCAGAACTGGCCGGCCAGTCCACTCTATTTAGAGGTATATAATCCTTTTGTCAACATTTTTCAGTCATTTCAAGGTTTTCTGTAGAATAATGGATAGAATTTGAAAATTTGAATTTCCTAACTAAATAGGAATGATACCTAATGACATTTTCTCTGGGTCTGGCCAGCCAGTTCTGACAAATGGAAAGTGCACTTAGACAGCACAACTTGGAGCTCTTTTGAGTTGTATACTACCAGTTTGTACATTCACCGTTAAAGTAGACTTAAACCATTTTACAGCATTTATTACTCAACCTCAGGATGACTACCAATGACTATATGAATAATAATTATAAGAATATGACTGCTTATCGAGACTTCTAATTCAATTGTTTATGTAAAATCAGCTGTCAGCTTCAAAGGCTAATTCAAAATTTAGTACCTGTGTTGTCAATAAAAAGCAGTTATAGGAAGCATTGTTCTGAAAAGTTGTTATCAGATGCTCCCTTTCTGCTGTACTCTTGATAGTACCATCTATCCTCAGCACCTTGTGACCCTGAATATAAACCAGAAGAATGCACCAACAGATAAAAATTAATTGTCATTTGGATCATAATTTCCACTGAATACTAAATATGGGTTTTCTAGAATTATAACAGCTAACTAAGGAAAACGTCAGTTACAGTCAACTCTCGCCTTACGGACACCTTGCTACAACGGATACCTCAATATTGCGGACAGTAAAATACTGAGTTGATGGCAGAAAATACAAAGAAATGACTGAAAGTAACTCTCATTACTGCGGCTCTCGTTACTGTGGACACTAAATTACGGTCCCAATGGTCCCAATAGCAAGAGTAGACATTCTAAATGGCCTATACAATTACAATATAGTATCAATGACTGCCACAGTGGAAATACTGTAGAATAGCCTTCTTGAAGGCTGTATTTATAAATTACCTGTCCAAATTTTGACACAATAAAAATATGTATGCTGACTCTTTGGAGACAAAGAATGCAATAGATTTTTGTAAATGATTATATACAATATTCTATAATGCTAGCACTTCTTATGACAGACTCACCCTGTGCGTTATGACTCGTTGAATCATGTCAAGCATTTTCCTTGACTGACTGAAGACCAAACATCGATGACCTTCAGCTTTCAGATTGTCCAATAAAGCAACTAGAAAAACCATTTTTCCTGATTCCTGGATTAGAACTGCATCAGASACTCCTGCTACTCCTTGATTTGAGTCATTTTTATTTTCTTTGTCTGCATCATCAATATCAATTATCCTAAGCACAAATTTGCTTGTTGTAAATAATCTTAAAGGTAATTTATCATATCACAGTATGAAAGAAATTTTAGACAAGAAGATGGCCAGGGGCCTTGAGCAGCTACAATGGCGTCAATTGTTAACTAAAAAAAGGTCTAGAGGTTGACACCTAGTGTTACCTTTGCTATCTGTAAAGTATGAACTGTAAATTATTAATGGATGAATAAATAAATAAATGAAATTTTTTTGGATAACTGAATATAATAATATATTCTGTAGTATATTTGAAATTCTACAAATCACTGAAATTTATGGGTAGATTTGGTTGATTAATCTATATTAAATGACAACATTCTACTGGATATAAGATTGTGGTTCATGTGGTTCTCTATACTTTGCAATAGATACATTACTGAAAATACTGACAATAAAATATTGTGTTTTCTCTGCTATCTCTGACTTTTTTTTTGAAATAGCCATAAACGTCTTGTACATACAACATGGATACAAATAATATAATTAATATTACCTTGCATTTTCATCCAGACCTAGCTTAGAGCATGCCATTGAAGACAAAAGCCTGGGATGATCACATATTTTCTTCAGAACATTAAGTTCAGCCAGTGGTGACCGGTTACTCATCAACAACTGAAAAAAAAACATAAAGATAGCGACCCATTGTTGGCTTTCATATCTGACCTCATGTTAGTCATAAAGTCAACATGGCTACTAATATTTAGAAGACCCTTTAGAAAAACACAATCCATAGCAGTGTATTGTAGTGTACATATTCAAAGACCAGTGATAAGGYCGATTTAGACGGTACAACTTTTGCCCTACAACCAATGGCATGGAACCTGCGTAAGTCATGCTTACGACATGGCTACAACTGTCGTGGAGTTGTCAAACAATTGTTTTTAATCTCTACGACAGTTGTAGCCATGTTGTAAGGATGACTTACGCATGTTGCACGCGACAGTTGTAGGCAAAAGTTGTACCGTCTATACTGGCCTATAGCAATACATAAGAGTTGGATGGTTTGTGTTGCTGGATGGGTCAGTTTAGAGCATTGATGATCATCAGATATTAAAAAAAAAACATCATACAACCTGCTAAAAGATACCAGCTCAAAAATGAACAGACCAAGTTATGAAACAATAAAATCAAATTTCCAAGCAGTTGTTTCGCAGCACGTTATTATCTCAGAAAGATCCTCTAAATCTACTAGATCAGACGAAAAAATTGCTAAAGCCTTGTAGATACAGATACCAGATTTTTTCCCTCATTCTCATCCCTTTCTAACAGGAGCCCAGGAATGAAAAGATTATAATTTACTTGCTCATTTCTTACCTCCTTGATCTCATCCAGTTTYACAAAATCAGTATAAATCTTAAGTTGTGATTTAGACAAGTGTAGCCATACAATGAAGTCRTTTTTGCGAGTCAACATTTTAGGAACCCTAGTTGTGAATTTAATAAAAAATTACAAAATTWAATTGCTTCCAGCTAAATAYAAARCATACATTAAACAAAGTTTTTGTTRCCRGTCAGTGAAATCATGACTCATTTGAAGAGAAATTCTGAGCAATTTCTATTGCTTTGTCACATGATCTTACCTGGCTTTTAGAGGCGTCTCTGATGTTGTGTTGTCTTGTTCCGATGTATCTGTTTCACAGTCCTTTTTCTTTAAGACTTCAGCTTTTGTTCTTCTTAAAAAGTGTGGTTCAATAAGCTTTCTCAGGCTCTTTGCCATTTCATTACCAATTTTCATTTCATATGCACTTGCATCTCTTTCACGTGCCTTTTTTATTAAATAAAAAAGAACATTCTTTGTAACTTCTGAAAGACTGAAGGTACAAAACAGTCTTATCTTGAATGAGAACAAAACATATAAATATTATTTTGTATTGGTTTGTGTTTCTAATATATTGTCTAACATTATCACATTCCCTAATATAATTATCAATATTTGTTTGCTCACTCGRACAATGGGTGTCTCAAATTCCGTCTTAAACGTCTTTGCTGATCCTAGTAGCTGCCCTTGGCATACAAAATCAAACAGTGACCACATTTCCTGGAATATTAGGAAAAAAGTTCATCGTTAATCATAATCAGATCAACAATTGATGATTGGAATTGATACTAATATTAATTATTACATGTATTATTACATAAAACTTGATGTAATTGAGATACTTCCAACTTTACCATGATTATTTTTATTTTTCAAAGCATTGGAGTATAGTATGGATTTTAGTATGTATACCACTTTTACAAAATAAATTGTACAATGAAGTAGCATGATTGGTGTAATTAGGGGATGGAAGGGTACTAATTTTAGTAGTGGGGGAGGGGAGGGAAGTGTATACGAGAGGGGTGTTACCTTCAAGTTATTCTGGATTGGTGTCCCAGTAAGGATGAAATGATTCCGTGCAGGAATTGAACGTATTCCCTTGCTTGTTTTGGTAGGGTTTTTGATTTTATGCCCCTCATCAAGTATTATGTAATCCTGTCAAAAATAGTCATATATCAATAAGTTATGTTAAGCACCATGTTACAGCACCATGTCACCACAGCACTACAGCACCATGTCACCACAGCATTACAGCACCATGTCACCACAGCACTACAGCACCATGTCACCACAGCACCATGTCACCACAGCACTACAGCACCATGTCACCACAGCACTACAGCACCATGTCACCAAAGCATTATCAACATTAAATACCCATTTAAATGGCCGTCCATTTATATCTTCACTGAGTGTTTCGTGGTTTGACACTACCATTCCTATTGGTTGAAAGAATTATGACATTAAACAAAGCAATATTTAACTGTATTCAAACATTATTTCATTACCATTCAATCATAACCTACCATATGTTGTAAGACAAACACCATTCTTCAGTTGTACTTTATGCAAGTCTTTTAATCGTTCTTTCTTTGAATTACCGTGGAAACATTTAACACGAATACCAGGTGTCCTGAAGATATAATTTATTAAACGACTCACATTGATTTTCAATCAGTATTAGATTGTAAATCATATTACTTTGATCGAAACCCTTTGATCATTTTATAAGGGGATAGTCTAAAATGTTATATATCTCAAACAATTGTTGATTATAAGCTAGATTACTATAGGGTTGTCAGTACACATGTCACCATACTGGAGCTGACAACTGTAGAACTCTGGCATCTATTTTGACACTTGGATTGGCTACGTTTTCCACATTCAGTTTGTAATGCTTGTGTAAATAAATGTAAAAGTAGGTGAAATATTTCTTTTTTTTTCTCTCTCTCTCTCTTTCTTTTTCATTTGGGTAAGTTGCTCAGGAGATTAAAAATGTTTATTGAAAGACATTTTAAAAAACCTTATTGATTCAATATCATAATTGCTACTCACCATTTATTAAATTCCTTTTCCCAGTTTTCTATCACAGCAACAGGCATAACAATAAGAGCTGAACGGATATGCTCACAGTCAAACATCCCTGACAAGAATGCAATCACTTGAATTGTTTTCCCTAACCTGGAAAAACATAATTCATCAATTACTGTACTGTTATTGTTTGTTACAATCCTGCCCAAAACCCATTGAGACAATGGCATATTTTTTTCACTCCAAAATTATGGGCGGCCGTCACCACCAAAAATACATTTTTATTAAATAGAGTAGCGATCTCTGTTAATCGATGCAGTGAAATACCGATTTGTCCAGCTATCTATGTTAAACGATACAGCAAAACACCTATTTGTCCAGCTATGTGTGTTAAACGGTGCAGCAAAACACCTATTTGTCCAGCTATCTATGTTAAACGGTACAGCAAAACACCTATTTGTCCAGCTATGTGTGTTAAACGGTGCAGCGAAACATCAATTTAACCAGCTATCTATGTTAAACGATCCAGTGAAATACCATTTGTCCAGCTATCTGAGTTAAACGGTAGAGCGAAATACTGATTTGTCCAGCTATTTTTGTTAAACGATCCAGCGAAATGCTGATTTGTCCAGCTATCTGTGGTAATCGATCTAGCAAAATACCGATTTAAACAGCTAGCTATGTAACCATCTAGCGAAACACCGATTTAAACAGCTATCTATCTCACGATCTAGCGAAACAGCGCTTTGATTAGCCATCAGTATTAA